ACTGACCAGTCGTATTTCCCTATATAATCTTTGTATTTTATGGGAAAAACAGAGGGTCATTTCAAAACGGATTTGAGGGCACTTACCGTCTTAACATCTGGCTAATTTTTTGCATGCTCTTAGGTAAATGGCTTGACCTTTAGGGGAAACTGTCGGTTTCACTCAAAGCCCTCGACGAGGGCTAAAAAGTGACCGCGAGTGAAATTCTCTTTATATGAGCTCTATTACGAAAAAAAATTTCCTCCGACGACCCCCCTTGAAATTTTGTGAGGTGGTAGGAGAACGCCTTGGGGTGTCCCAAAAAACTCGCCATGTCCGGGAAAATTCGTTAAATGGGTCAAAACTGACCAGTCGTATTTCCCTATATAATCTTTGTATTTTATGGGAAAAACAGAGGGTGATTTCAAAACGGATTTGAGGGCACTTACCGTCTTTACATCTGGCTAATTTTTTGCATGCTCTTAGGTAAATGGCTTGACCTTTAGGGGAAACTGTTGGTTTCACTCAAAGCCCTCGACGAGGGCTAAAAAGTGACCGCGAGTGAAATTCTCTTTATATGAGCTCTATTACGAAAAAAAAATTCCTCCGACGACCCCCCTTGAAATTTTGTGAGGTGGTAGGAGAACGCCTTGGGGTGTCACAAAAAACTCGCCATGTCCGGGAAAATTCGTTAAATGGGTCAAAACTGACCAGTCGTATTTCCCTATATAATCTTTGTATTTTATGGGAAAAACAGAGGGTGATTTCAAAACGGATTTGAGGGCACTTACCGTCTTTACATCTGGCTAATGTTTTGCATGCTCTTAGGTAAATGGCTTGACCTTTAGGGGAAACTGTTGGTTTCACTCAAAGCCCTCGACGAGGGCTAAAAAGTGACCGCGAGTGAAATTCTCTTTATATGAGCTCAATTACGAAAAAAAATTTCCTCCGACGACCCCCCTTGAAATTTTGTGAGGTGGTAGGAGAACGCCTTGGGGTGTCACAAAAAACTCGCCATGTCCGGGAAAATTCGTTAAATGGGTCAAAACTGACCAGTCGTATTTCCCTATATAATCTTTGTATTTTATGGGAAAAACAGAGGGTCATTTCAAAACGGATTTGAGGGCACTTACCGTCTTTACATCTGGCTAATTTTTTTGCATGCTCTTAGGTATATGGCTTGACCTTTAGGTGAAACTGTCGGTTTCACTCAAAGCCCTCGACGAGGGCTAAAAAGTGACCGCGAGTGAAATTCTCTTTATATGAGCTCTATTACGAAAAAAAATTTCCTCCGACGACCCCCCTTGAAATTTTGTGAGGTGGTAGGAGAACGCCTTGGGGTGTCCCAAAAAACTCGCCATGTCCGGGAAAATTCGTTAAATGGGTCAAAACTGACCAGTCGTATTTCCCTATATAATCTTTGTATTTTATGGGAAAAACAGAGGGTCATTTCAAAACGGATTTGAGGGCACTTACCGTCTTAACATCTGGCTAATTTTTTGCATGCTCTTAGGTAAATGGCTTGACCTTTAGGGGAAACTGTCGGTTTCACTCAAAGCCCTCGACGAGGGCTAAAAAGTGACCGCGAGTGAAATTCTCTTTATATGAGCTCTATTACGAAAAAAAATTTCCTCCGACGACCCCCCTTGAAATTTTGTGAGGTGGTAGGAGAACGCCTTGGGGTGTCCCAAAAAACTCGCCATGTCCGGGAAAATTCGTTAAATGGGTCAAAACTGACCAGTCGTATTTCCCTATATAATCTTTGTATTTTATGGGAAAAACAGAGGGTGATTTCAAAACGGATTTGAGGGCACTTACCGTCTTTACATCTGGCTAATTTTTTGCATGCTCTTAGGTAAATGGCTTGACCTTTAGGGGAAACTGTTGGTTTCACTCAAAGCCCTCGACGAGGGCTAAAAAGTGACCGCGAGTGAAATTCTCTTTATATGAGCTCTATTACGAAAAAAAATTTCCTCCGACGACCCCCCTTGAAATTTTGTGAGGTGGTAGGAGAACGCCTTGGGGTGTCACAAAAAACTCGCCATGTCCGGGAAAATTCGTTAAATGGGTCAAAACTGACCAGTCGTATTTCCCTATATAATCTTTGTATTTTATGGGAAAAACAGAGGGTGATTTCAAAACGGATTTGAGGGCACTTACCGTCTTTACATCTGGCTAATGTTTTGCATGCTCTTAGGTAAATGGCTTGACCTTTAGGGGAAACTGTTGGTTTCACTCAAAGCCCTCGACGAGGGCTAAAAAGTGACCGCGAGTGAAATTCTCTTTATATGAGCTCAATTACGAAAAAAAATTTCCTCCGACGACCCCCCTTGAAATTTTGTGAGGTGGTAGGAGAACGCCTTGGGGTGTCACAAAAAACTCGCCATGTCCGGGAAAATTCGTTAAATGGGTCAAAACTGACCAGTCGTATTTCCCTATATAATCTTTGTATTTTATGGGAAAAACAGAGGGTCATTTCAAAACGGATTTGAGGGCACTTACCGTCTTTACATCTGGCTAATTTTTTTGCATGCTCTTAGGTATATGGCTTGACCTTTAGGTGAAACTGTCGGTTTCACTCAAAGCCCTCGACGAGGGCTAAAAAGTGACCGCGAGTGAAATTCTCTTTATATGAGCTCTATTACGAAAAAAAATTTCCTCCGACGACCCCCCTTGAAATTTTGTGAGGTGGTAGGAGAACGCCTTGGGGTGTCCCAAAAAACTCGCCATGTCCGGGAAAATTCGTTAAATGGGTCAAAACTGACCAGTCGTATTTCCCTATATAATCTTTGTATTTTATGGGAAAAACAGAGGGTCATTTCAAAACGGATTTGAGGGCACTTACCGTCTTAACATCTGGCTAATTTTTTGCATGCTCTTAGGTAAATGGCTTGACCTTTAGGGGAAACTGTCGGTTTCACTCAAAGCCCTCGACGAGGGCTAAAAAGTGACCGCGAGTGAAATTCTCTTTATATGAGCTCAATTACGAAAAAAAATTTCCTCCGACGACCCCCCTTGAAATTTTGTGAGGTGGTAGGAGAACGCCTTGGGGTGTCACAAAAAACTCGCCATGTCCGGGAAAATTCGTTAAATGGGTCAAAACTGACCAGTCGTATTTCCCTATATAATCTTTGTATTTTATGGGAAAAACAGAGGGTCATTTCAAAACGGATTTGAGGGCACTTACCGTCTTTACATCTGGCTAATGTTTTGCATGCTCTTAGGTAAATGGCTTGACCTTTAGGGGAAACTGTCGGTTTCACTCAAAGCCCTCGACGAGGGCTAAAAAGTGACCGCGAGTGAAATTCTCTTTATATGAGCTCTATTACGAAAAAAAATTTCCTCCGACGACCCCCCTTGAAATTTTGTGAGGTGGTAGGAGAACGCCTTGGGGTGTCACAAAAAACTCGCCATGTCCGGGAAAATTCGTTAAATGGGTCAAAACTGACCAGTCGTATTTCCCTATATAATCTTTGTATTTTATGGGAAAAACAGAGGGTGATTTCAAAACGGATTTGAGGGCACTTACCTTCTTTACATCTGGCTAATTTTTTGCATGCTCTTAGGTAAATGGCTTGACCTTTAGGGGAAACTGTCGGTTTCACTCAAAGCCCTCGACGAGGGCTAAAAAGTGACCGCGAGTGAAATTATCATTATACGAGATTAGGTCATTTGGTCTATGAACAGGGGAAGTAACTTTTTAATGTAATAATTTTTAAATATTTTGTATTCTCTTTTCAAGAAAAAAACAAAAATCATAGAGTATAGCATTGTTTGAAATAAATATTTTGTTATAAATTAAGTTTTGCATTGTACTGATATTGTAAAAATTTATTGTGAAAGTAATTTATTATAATATTTGATTGATACTATTCAGAAATCCCCTGCAGTTCTAATAACCGTACGAGTAATAAGTTTGCGAATATTCCATCAATATTAGTGTTGCATAAAATTACTCCACTGTATAAATTTAGGCCCTATGCATTTAAGATAGCAGCCAATCACCTATTAATTAATTATTCAATTCCTCAATTTTTTTGAAAACCTAAGCGAAGCTAGGCAGTATGCCTAGTATTAATATATAGCAAACCTAATAGCAATAGGCCCTATATAATATATATAATAAATATAATATATATATATTAGGCTATATAGTAATAGCAATCGATTTAGGTTTATTATTCATTTTTCTATAATATTTGACACAAACATATGACAATAAATATACTTCTATTATAAAGCCTTGACAATGAGGTAACGTTTTCGTACATAACATTTGTAGCTGCGGGCGATTTTTACGAATTTATGTACCCAAAACGATATATTAAAAATTAGATTAACTAGATAAGTAGATTTCTACCATTTAGAGGGTTTACCGAAAAAATAGATCAAGAATAAGTAATATTTTTGGGTAATCTATCATTTTGGGTATGTAAAATCGCCCGCGGCTATTAATGTACGAAAACGTTACCTCATTGTCAAGGCTTTAATACTAATAGAAATAGAAGTATATTGTCATATGTTTGTGTCAAATATTATAGATAAATGAATATTAAACCTAAATCAATGGCTAAATAATAAATATATCGATATAGGCCAGAAATTAACTTTAAACATAAACAGCAGTGTCTGAGAGCAAGATTTGCTATATAAACAGCAGCCATTTGTAAAATAGAGTGACTTCCCCCTGAATCTCCTGCTAAAAGCTTATAAAAATAAAACTTAAACAAGATGGCTGCTATAGTAAATGAGCATGGTTGCATCTGTTGGAAACATCGCTAGTCTTCATTTATTACGGAAAAGTTTTAATTCAATTGTTTAAAAACAGGTACATAAATGAAACAAGGAAACATTTTTGTATTTTAAAAAACATAAATCCTCCTCAAAATGTGAAATAATTATTAAAATTTAAGGAGTCACCTGGTGTTCACATTACAAGTCGCGGGCGATTTTACGTAGGCCTACCAAAAACGATAACGATAGATTACCTATTTTTGGCCTACTTAGTACTTAGTACTTACTACTTACTAGATCTACTTAGTCTTATACAGGATCTAGACTAGATCTAAATCAAGATCTAGATAGTTCTTGTCTAGAATCTCGATTCGTTTTCAACTAGACTAGATCTAGATTTTTTCTAGATTCTAGCTAGATCTATATTCTATATGTCTAGATCTAGATCTATGTCAACTTCCGCGTTAATTTTTTCTAATAACCTGTTTTCTGACCTAGATCTAGATCGCGCGGGAAAGAAGCTATTAATAAAGTTTCGCCTAAGTAATAAGTATTGTAAATTTAATTTAATAGTATCAAGTTTTAGTTTTATGTGGTTACATTGAAATTTGGGTCCGAAATTCCCGTAATAATGCGTTGTCTCAGTTGTCTCACTTCTCACCATTCTCCTGTATATATATATATATATATATATATATATATATATATATATATATATATATATATATATATATATATATATATATATATATATATATATATATATATATATATATATATATATATATATATATATATATATATATATATATATATATATATATATAATATATATATATATATATATATATATATATATATATATATATATATATATTACGGTCAAAGCCCAAAGTGCGGCCGAAGCCCGCATTGGCCGGCTCTCTTGGCCAAAGCCCGAAGAGCTTAGCACTAAGAGCGTATTTCGTACATTGGCAGGCCAATGCGTGCACTGGCCGGGAAGTACTGGCCGAAGTCCGAAGACCTTTAAATTGACTGCGTATTTTGTACACTGGCCGGCCAATGCGCGCACTGGCCGGGACGTGATGGCCAAAGTCCGAAAATTTTAAAATTGACAAAGTATTTCATACATTGGCCAGCCAATGCGCACACTGGCCGGGATGTCCAATCTAGACTAAGTTGTGATCACGTTTTCATTAATCTGGGTGCGGTTTCATTGTGAGTAATGTATTGTTTGCATAGCATTCTATATGCCATAAGACATGGACCAAAAGGGCCGTCAGACCAAGTGACAGACATACCAGATGGCTGCCAAAATAAATAACCCAAATCCTATTGGAAGAGAATTTGTGAATCAAGTTATTTCTGAACTAAAGAACACGTTGACTGAACTTAAACTACTTCACGGAAAAAGCCAAAGCCAAGGTTCAATAGAACGTGCCAACCGAGATGTTCAAAACATGATGATGACATGGATGCAGATAAACGAGAGTCTAAAATTTATTCAATTTAAGAAAAACATGACAATAATATGGCCAATAGATTATGTGTAGTTTGTGAAAGATATTGTAGTGCAGCCCATTCTTGTGGATTCTGTGGCAACGATGTCCATGCAACATTCGGAGTAGCCAATGAAGCAGACGAAGGTTACGGAGGGAACATTACTTGCAGATTATGTCACAATAAACAAGAAATCATGGACAACAGGTCAGCTTCTCATACTAGCTTGCAAACTCAAGGTGCCAAGACTCTAAAAAAATTTTTTTAAACAAGCTGAAGTGGGAGATAATGTTCGCATCCGTATACCAGATGTTGACAGAGGTCGAGGTGATCCCCAAAGCGTCATTGCAGTTGTCATGAGCGTCGAGGGTGCTTTCTACAAGCTAGGAACGGAACATTGTGTACTAAAACAACTATATGCTAAAAGTGAGTTTTCAATTCTTTACGAAAAACTGCTCTCATTGTCACCCGTTGGCATCGAGGAAAATCACTACGAACCATCGCATCTTCACAATCACTGACCAGCGGCCAAGGCTACATTTATTGCAATTGCACAACTTAGTGCACAACAAATCGCTGCATGCGTAAAAATAATAACGTAATTTTAAATAATAATCAACTAAGACTTAATTTTTTATGATCCTTACGGTATAAAAAAACTAAAATCTGCTCAAGATCTTCTAATTCGGACTTTGACCGGTATTCCCTAGCCAGATGATCTTCTGATTCGGACTTTGGCCGGTCCATAATGGCCAGTCCGCAGACTGGCCGGCCAAAGACCGAAATCAAGAGCCATTTCAGACTTTTGCCGGTCCACCGTGGCCAGTCCGCGGATTGGTTCGGACTTTGGCCGGTCAATGAGATGCGATATTGGCCAATATATATATATATATATATATATATATATATATATATATATATATATATATATATATATATATATATATATATATGTATATATATATATATATATATATATATATATATATATATATATATATATATATATATATATATATATATAAAGAAAAGTAGTCGAGAGTGTTTCTTCCAGACTTTTTTCGGGGGGGGGGGGGGCATTTGATATTTTCGGGGGAAGGGGGGACTAAATTTTCCGGAGGGGGGGGGGGCGAACACTGGTAAAAGTATATGATTTTCTATATAAATTCCATTTCGTAGACTTTCTTAATTAAAGATCTGGGCACTTCCCGGCGCTTCAAATTTGGCATGCTCCTGTCTTGGGGCAATAGAACACAGGGGCCGGTGCCAGTTGGCCGCAAAGTCCAAGAAGAAAGAGAGGGTCAAAAGTAACCTCGACTGACCGGCGCCTTATATGGGCTATTATCGAGAAAAAAAACTTTTGCCGAACGACACCCCCCCCCCCCTTGATATTTTGTATGGCGGTAGAAAAACACCTAGAGGTGTCAGTAAGCTGATCTAGAACATTTTCCTTAGGCACCTTGTACAGATGCACATATTTTTAGATGGATTGTGTTAAAGCTAGAAACCAGAGCCGGCGTTAGGGGTGCGCGGGGCCTAGGGCCAACCATCCGCGCGGGGCCTTATATTTTTCCATTTTCCATTGGTGTCTAAAACATGCACAGTGAGGCGTTTTTAGCGCAATTTCCATACTGGCAATTGCGTTTAATAATGCGTCATTTCTGGATGGATGGATGGATGGATGGATGGATGGATGGATGGATGGATGGATGGATGGATGGACGGGTGGGTGGGTGGATGGATGGATGGATGGATGGATGGATGGATGGATGGATGGATGGATGGATGTGTGTCCGCAGCTTTAAGTCGTATCTCCTCCTCAACGAAGCAATATCGAGGACTAGTTCCAAAAGCAAATATGTTAAGCAAGTTCCAAGGATGATTGTGGGCCAAAAAAAATCCCGGAATTTCTGCCTGGATTTCCCGGAAAAGCCAAAAAACCTCGAACAAATGCAGTTTTTGCTCCATAGCTCGGCAACCAGACCACTTAGCGACTTGAAACATTTACCAATCGATTCCTGCCATAATTTAGACCAATATTGCCGAAGAAAGTTTTCAAAAATATTCTTTCGTTCGGTCCCAAAAAATTAATTAAGAACATTTAAACTGAGCATCGTGTAGGCCTAGGATGATATTTACTACTTTTTAAAACTGAGCATCTTGTAGGCCTACTCGTTAAAATAAAACTATTTCCGTTGATATAGGTTAATATACATAGTTGTCTTTTTTTTTGCGCAAAAAAATATCCTTTCGTTCGGACACAAAAAATTAAAAATTGTTATGGATAACATAAGGAAATTGCGCTTAAATTGTCACTAGACTTTTTATTAACTTGTTTTTGTTTAGAGTGATAAATTGTTTTGTTTTGTCGACCTACATTGTGTTTTTTTCTTATTTCTTCAGAGTACTGCTTTCAATTTATATTACATCATAGCGAAGCAATGACTTACAGCTAGTATATATATATATATATATATATATATATATATATATATATACTAGCTGCATCCCGTGCTCCGCCACGGTAAATCTTTTTTAAATGTACCAACTTGGGAACAGAACAAAACTAAACACAACACAAACGAACGCAAAAAAAAACAACGAAAAACAAACACAACACTCATAACATAAACACAATTTAAATGCAATCATACAGGCATTTTGCTCACAGTCTAGCCCGTAGCGCCAAAATCGCGCCCTTTCCGGTGATTTGCACCCCCCTCAAACTTTCGATTTGCACCCCTTCCCCCCCCCCCGCCCTAAAACTTTCGATTTCCACCCCCCCCCCCTCGCAAATTTTTTCCAACCCACTTTGGCGCCCCCTAAGGTCGGCACCCGGGGACATATGCCCCCCCCCCCCCTCGCTACGCCTCTCCTATAAAACCCGAAAGATAGAATAATAATTAGAAAACAGTATAAATAATAGGCAGTATTTAAAATATCCGTGTTTTACCTACAATATTTCACTTTATCCATTTACGCATTTTTTTCCAGTACTTTAAATTTTAAAAAATTACAATAGAGTTTCATAACTAAAACCATTGCGCACCTAATGAACGTGATGACGCGTCTATAATAGAGCTGAATAGTTGATTAAAAATTATAAGTAATAAACAGTAGGGCCTACATTCAGTGAATAAAATAAATAAAAGATTGCCTTTTATCAATCCATGCTAATTATAATTTTCTAACAATAATTTCCTCTTACACATCCGAATAATTTGCATTCACAATTTGCTAATTATATTATTGCAACACTAATTCCTTCTATGACGAACGTATATTTGCATTTACATTTTTTATTAGCGTGAGTTTAATGTATTTTTAAATTACCTCCTTTGTCAAAATTAGAAAAGAGTTAAATTAATTTGATTTTTCTACCGTACTGTTATTATCTTATTAAAATGTATCCACTTTTTCTGGGAACCTAAACGAAAATGATATTTGACATTAATCTTTTTAATACGTTTTAGCAGTTTGCGTGTATTTAATATTTTCTTGACGTTATGCGAAAGAGTAAAAACCGTGGCAATTATAAAATAGCTCTATGCCGCTATATAAACAAACCCTACTCTAATACTTATAATAAGACACTGCGGTGCACTGAAAAGCACAGCATGGTGCGAATGTTTACTTTTATGGTTCCAAAAGCTATAGCGATGACAGAAGGAAGGAAGGAGAAGGACTGACACGCTCAGCCCGCTTATATTATAGATATATATATATATATAACGTTGTTCAAGCATACGTTCTTCCACTTATGTATGAAATTCCGTCTACATAACCGAAACATTAATGGGGTCCCGCGGAAATAGAGCAAAATACAGCTTCCTATGACTGAAAGTCGGATCTTTCGTAAGTTGGTAGAAACCTGCGCATACTTCTATGTGACATTTCGCCAATCTAACTTTAATTATTGGCTTTAAAGAGAACACTTCCGGTAACCGGAAATCACTCAAAAGTATAGAAGACTATAAATTAATTACATTTGGTAAACATAATTGTTTTATCGTGTTTACAGACACTCAGACGGACAGGATTGCAAAACTAAGTTTTTCCGGCACCTTAAATCTCGATTTTTATTTTTGTCACAATTACAATATATACATCCTTTATATTCCATATATGATAAAGCAGGGAGATGTAAAACGGTGAAAACTGTCCAAATTTCATTTACATTTTGTGCACGATTACAATATTCTGACTATGATATGTATAGATCTACGTCAGTATACGAGAAAGTGACATGAGAAAGGTCCACCAGTCTTTTACTACCCACGGGCTCCCGGCTGCTCTGTTATTTGTGTTGTGATGCCACCACGCCACTGAATGTTTGTGTTCCACAATATAAGCACGATTAGTAAATAAGCAGGCTACTCTCTTAGGCAATTAAATCGAAATTATATAATGGGCTAGAATGTGCATATGCCTAGCATATTCTAATTCTAGATAAGACTGCGCCTAGCCTACTTGTCAGTCGGCCTAAATCATGGATTGGTGCGTTGTTTGGTTAATGTTAGCTTCGGTCAAGGACGTGAACATGCGCAGTGTCTACTTCATTCTTTTGGTCGTGTTGGGATTTTTGAGTTCAGGTGATGTTGCTAAAAAACGTATTTTAGTCTCGAACTTTCATTTAATAATATGTCATCTAGATTCTATATCCCCTTTTCTATATAGATCTAGAGCGATGTAGATGTAGTCTATCTATCTAAATTACGTCAACAATATAAATGAAAGTAGATCCTAGGTCTCAAGATCTAGATTCTAGATCTAGATCTAGCTAGATCTAGATCTAGATCTACTCTAGTCTAGAATCTAGATCTAGATCAAGAAATCTACTCTAGAGTCTAGACTCTAGTCTAGACTCTAGAGATCTAATTCTAGAGTCTAGATCTAGATTCAGATTGACTTAAAAACTAAAAAACGGTCTAGATTCTAGATCTATTTCTATATCAGGTATATCTAGAATCTAGATAGATCTAGATCTAGGTACTTCAGGTACTAAACTAGTCTAGAATCTAGATCTAGATATATCTAATTATCTATTATCTAGATCTAGAATCTAGATCTAGTAACTAGCATAAAAAAGTAAAAAAAATGGTTTGAGTTTGATTGCATTAATTTAAGCCTAAGCCTTAGGGTAAAGGAGGGCGTTAAGAGCCGTGTGGTATTAAGCCCCAATCAACACCCCACCCCCACAAAACCCCCAATAACACTGCTAATCTTTTTCTGAGGTAATAACCACTGCTGTTCTTTGATAACAGAGAAGCAGAGGATTCATTTTATGTAATTTATGACCCACTTGGTCCAATTGGGAGAGGATGAGACAGGATTTAATCCCACTGCTCTTTCCCTAAAATTTCTCATCTCCATAAAACCATTTTGTGAACTTTTTTTCCAAATAGACATAACTTGGGAAACTTCACTTTGTAATAAACTAAATGAGTTTTTCAAGCCCATTCTTTGTTCCTGTATTAGAGCATTGGCTGTTGTACATTTTAACACTATTTTGATAGCTATGGCTAGAATAGTTTTATTTTGGTGAATTTTTTTTGCACAGTGATTATTGGTGCCAAAACAAAATGGCCGACATCTGTCCTATTTTACCATGCTATAAAGTTTTTATCATTATCAGAGTAAAACTTGAGTAATCATTACCATAATGGTTTTATTTGTTAGATAATAACTAAATCTACATGAATACATTAATTTTGTCCACTAGCTTGCCTGTTCAGAAAAGTTATAACAGATAATGTTATGTGGCTCTTGAAACCCTATGTTCAAGTTTCTCATTTATTAGACCACTGAATATGACACAGGTATAGGAATAGTTAACACAAAATGTATTAATTGTTAAACAGACTTGTGTCTAAATGATAGAAATACAATTCTAACCTGCTAAAAAGTAAAAATTCAGCCATCTGATGTTAGCCAGATAATTTTTAAAAGGTACAGGTACTTATTACCCCTAAGGGGCAATAAGCCGACTCAGCCCCCACCTGTTTCTAACCAACCATAAAACTTCTAATCTCTTTGTAGGTAACAGGAATAAATGTTCTTAGGTCTCAGCCAATCTGGGGTGGTATGTTATGTAATTTATGACCCTCATGGTCCAGCAGGGAAGTAAACAGACACATTAATACCACTGCTCCCCCCTTACAATGTCTTACCCCCATGATACCCAGCCCCCACCAGTTTCTGGCCCACCATAAAACTTCATCTCTTTGTAGGTAACATGGATTACAGTTACAGATCTCAGACAGTCTGGGGTGGCATGTTATGTAATATATGACCTTCATGGTCTAGCAGGGTGGAGACTAGGAATCAGTACCACTGCTCTCCCCTCACAATTTCTCACCCCCATGATACCCAGCCCCCACCTGTATCTAACCCACCATAAAACTTCATCTCTTTGTAGGTAACATGGACTAAGTTCTTAGATCTCAGCCAACCAGAGATAGCATCTCCTTATGTAATTTATGGCCCTCAGGGTCCAGCAAGGAGAACAAAGGGGAAACCAGTACCACTGCTCTCCCCTCAACATTTCTCACCTCCATGTCATGTTATGTAATGTATAGCACACATGGCTTATCAGGGGAAAGAATTAAGGCAGATTAGTTAGTACCACCCCTTTTTACATACAAGAATGTTAACTCTGGACAGCTACACACTAGTATACTAGCTACACACTAGGCATACTAATGTGCCTACTGTAAACTACTAGACTTTAGGCCCTATGTACACCTGCAATTGTATCAATTGTAGACTGGGCCCATTGGGGCCTAGTGATAGCTAATATCAGTTAAAGTGTGTGTACACAGCATTAACTATTTTGGGGTTAGAAATTAATTATTTTTATTGCGGAGTTAGTCAAAACTAGGAGATAATACTTATTGCCCCATTGCCCGGCTCCTTTCACCCCAAATGCTGATTTTGGGGGTATGACAATAAATGTTCAATTACACCCATTTAAAGTATATTTAATAGACTTTGTTATTATTTTTATATTGTGTAAGATATGTTAGAATAATTTTGCCATATTTTCAATACTAAAAAATTCTTAGATTAATAGAAATCTTTAAAAATGTACAGGTGCTAAAAAGTGTGGCTCTTAACGCCCTCCTTTACCCTAATTATTAAATTAAGCTGAATAAGAAGGTGACTGCAGATTAAAAGAAGCAAAAAAATTACAATCACAGAACGTGAGAACTCAGAACAGTTTTTGTTTTAGAATCTAGATTAGATCTAGAAGCTAGAAATCTAGATCTAATCTAGAAATCTAGAGTAGAATCTAATCTAGAGATCTAGCTCCAATAGTTGAAAAAATATTTAGGCCTAATATAAAAAGTTAGGGGGCTTATCCTTTTTTTCCCTATAAAAAAAGGTGCATTTTTTAACGCAGGATTTAAAAAATTTCTGTGATAAAGTTTTTTTTTAGTGTGAATTAAAATGATCATTGTAAACTGTGATAGAATTTGTTCGAACTTTCCAGTATTTTTTTTTATCATATAGATCTAGACTTTATAGATCTACGCCTATGGGAGCATAATAAACCATAAAATAAGATACCTAGCCAGGCCTATGGGATGGGTAGAAGGGTAGAATTTAAAAAACAAACAAAAGTGGAACATTGCATGGGACACCCCCCCCCCCCTGTTTTTGAACACGAAGCGCTTTCATACAACCACAGTTTAAATTTTAACTATTTGAAATATTAAGGTTAAAATAACTCAAAATGAGTAACTATGGGTGTGTCAATGAATAATATTAAATATTGATCATAGCATGAAAGATTTTTGTATAACATGATGCAAAGCTGATAAATCATGCGATGCTACTAAACCAAAGTCTGGTTTATGTGAAATAGGCCTACAAAATTATGCCAAATTTAAACTACTGAGCATTTAAGTCTCAAAATTTGCCTAACTTTAGATAGCTCTCTATAGGCCTACTACATAAGAAATAATCAAAATATTGCTTGTTACTCTGTTAGCCAGAAATATTTGGTTGAAGAAGGTACCTTTTAAAAAACCAAAATTTTTGCACAATCTGAGTGTGAGCTCTATCTATTAAAAATATCAAGCACAGAACTTAAATGAAGTTCTAAAAATGTGTCTATTAATAGAATTTTCATTGAGCTAAAGAAATGGTACAACTCACATTGTAATTATGTAGGCCTAAACGATTTTCACTATCATTGTTCCAAAAGTGAAGATATGTTATTACATGATGGCAAGTCATTAAAGACCCTTAGTCTGATTGTAATTAAATGAAGATAGGACATGGTCAGATGATAGAACACCCAAGTGTTAACCTTAAATCTCAATCTAGCTGTAATCAGTACCTGATATTCTTATGGAAATTGAAGGCATCTGGGCATATTCATGACCACACTATTTTAAAAATGATTTTGTTATCATGTATTACACAACCTTAGATGTTTTTAAAATAAATTTGGTTATGGTAAAGCAGGGCACTAGGCACCACATTTTTTAGCATCTGTACATTTTTAACTTGTAATTCAACAGACCTCCTATGTTACAAGTCCATATACACTGTATCACTGTAATCCCACGATCTACTGACAATGTTCTTTCTGTTCAACCATTCTGTGTGTACACTCAAGGTTTCTCTTCGTTTGACACTTTGGTCGCAATCCCCACATCTCAAACATGCTGGGTCTTAGTTGAATCTATTTCCGCATTCTTTCTCCGTCATTGCCTGATCTCTGCACACAACTGTTTGCTCTCAGCCTTTCTGCCACGATCGTTTTCTCGGCTTTTCTGCCCCCAACCGCTCAAGTATCACTGCTTATAGACACCCTGACATTGTGTCTTTCATACAAACATCTGTCACTTCCTGTTTAATAAAAAAGTTCTATCAAGGTCAAAGTATTCTCTTTCAGTACCACCAATTGTGTAATATTTTGTAATGGTTGGTCCATCTGTATCTTCTACATTGGCAACAAACAACTTGTTTACATCAAGTATCATGTCTTGTTAACATTCAAATTCTATATTAGTCTCTAGTTACACTACATATAAACATCATGTTTATGTCACAGTTTCATGAAATCTCGGTTTGGTTTAACCTTGTCCTTGTAGACAGACACCAAATGCCTTATTATCTATTGCATTATTTGTAACTTCACACCAGGTACATGTGTCTTAATGGGACAGGGATTAACGCCATAAAACTAAAAAAGTAGATTTAAATATGCGATTAAAAAGATTTTTTTAATAAAAAGATTTTATACTTTGTTTCATGTTGAAATTCTGGTGTGGTAAAAGTTTTGCAGTCTTCTTCACATTTTACTGCCAACCTACCAAGGAGGTGTAGTGTCACATGAGCAGCATTTTTCACTAAAAAATAAATCGCCTTCATTTTAGTTGTCTTGCTTTTTATCAACATTGCTGAATGTGTGCTGAATTCATTAATAAAACAAATTTACAAGATTTGCCACGAACAAAAACAAATGTGAACTAATTAAAAGCTTTTTAAAATAGGATGCGGTTAGCACTAATGGTTGGGGCATCTAATTAAGCTTACAAGATGCCATTGTAAAATTGTAGATTTCTTTTTACGGCTGGGT